TTATCATTCCGGTTTCTACCCATTTCCCCATCCATCCCCATACCTACTATTAATGTCTCCAGATCTTCATCACTATTTAGAGGTGAAGTTGGGATAGCCTTACTGGTTAGCCTGGAAATTAAGGCCTCCTGCAACCTACCTCTCCCATCATCCAATCGAATTTCTCACTCGCCACCCCAACTTGTTCCGTCTTTAGGGAAACTTGACATGTCTTACTATACGCACCTTTCTTCTCCCTTAGCCTGTCTGGTACCTCTTCCGAGGTTTCATGGTACTGGGATGGCTTTTTCTCTGCCCATTTGGGCCCAAGTCCTGACACAGAATAAAATCACAGCGTTATGTCTCACTCAGGTAAAGAAGGACGATTTGCACGTTCTCCTCAACATTTTGAAATACGGTATTCCAAATTACACCTGCATTTCGTTTTATGTGATAGATGAGCTCTACTTTAAACATTAAAATTCAAATTGCAGTAAGAAAATGAATAAAGAAATTAAAAAGGAGATGACTATTTAAAGAATCCTGTTGTGAGTCCTTTTACAACGTAAGCTTCATTAAGGATTTATTTAGGCTATCACTTCTTCCTTTTTGAAGAAAGGTGGCCTGCAGGTGGCTTCCAGTTCTCTGGGACTCCCCACCCCCACCCTCCCCCGAAACCATGCCAAACCAGTTCGTTTTCCTCATCCTAGAGATGACAGTCATTAATGTGTTTTTTTCTGAAATCCCATTTTAGCTGTTTCCTCTTCAAACGCCTATTTTGGATACCTCTTTCCCTTACTCTATTGAGAGAATGTAAAATATGGTTTCTTTTTTCAGAGACATTAGTGGGATTTCCTCTCGTGCAGCACAGTCTCCAGCCAGAATCTGGGTAGAAAGGGCTGCTGGAGATCTGGGTGTTCCCCACCGACAGGAGAGAGAGGGAGATTGAGATCCCCAACCAGTAGCTTCTGAGTGAAGTATGGTCTATCTTGCCAAAAAAGGAGGTCGAGCAGTTAAAAGTCAGGAGAGGAGGCAAGAATGCGGACTTTTTTCTTTTCTTTTTTAATCACCAAATATTCTTTCTTATCACTTCGCTGATACTTAATGTTTGCTTTTGCTATCCCCGATGTTTTTCACACAGTTGATCAAATTTCCTTCACTGAATCATTCCAACAATGTCTGGGTGGATCTCCTGGCTCATCTTGTAAACGTGCAACCTAAGCGTCCAGAGTGGGTTGGCCTCGCCCATTTCTCAGTTCTCTGTGGGGAGATGCACAGTGATGAGTCCGTGAATTCATGTCACGCAGTGACACCAGTGTTAACGTGCGTAGTGACAGCAATCTGTGTCTGCCTTGCGGCAACACTGAATTTTGGTTGCTGCTTAGTCTTCCCCAGAGCTTAAGGCATATTTCGGGAGTGGGGGTGGGTGACAATAAAGGTTCTTTTGCAAAAAGAATTGCAGCTTTCTTAAAACAACAGCAAAAAAAGCAAGAGAAATCAGATATCTAATTATCATGTCCTTCCCCAAGGAAAAAAGTAAACATAACCAGGCTAAAATATCAAAGACCGCAAAGATCTGAGAATCCCGGCATCCCCGAACTAGCCCAGAGTCAATGGCTTATTGCTACAGATGTTGAGGAATTTTTGCCAAAAATAATGACAATGGGAAGCAGAATGGGTCTTTTAAAAGTTCTTATATAAATTCCAGTTAGGTAACATACAGTGTAATATTAGCTTCAGGTGTGCACTAGTGATTCAACACTTCCATACATCACCTGGTGCTCATCACAACAAGTGGACTCCTTAATCCCCATCACCTGTTTCATCCATCCCCCCCACCCACCGCCCCTCTGGTGACCATCAGTTTGTTCTCTGTATTTAAGAGTCTGTTTCTCAGTTTGTCTCTCTCTTTTTCCTTTGCTCACTTGTTTCTTAAATTCCACATATGGGTGAAATCCTATGGTATTTGTCTTTCTCTGACTTATTTCACTTAGCATAATCCTCTCTAGTTCCATCCACATCACTGCAAATGGCAAGATTTCATTCTTTTTGATGGCTGAGTAATATTCCATTGTGTGCATATATCACATCTTTATCCATTCAGCAATCAGTGGATACTTGGGCTTCTTCCATCATTTGGCTATTATAGATAATGCTGCTATAAGCATTGGTGTGCATGTATCCCTTTGAAAATTAGCGTTTTTGTATTCTTTGGGTAAATACCTAGTAGTGCAATTGCTGGGTCTTAGGGTAGTTCTATTTTTAACTTTTTGAGGAAGCTCCATACTGTTTTCCAGAGTGGTTGCTTCAGTTTGCTTTCCCACCAGTGGTGCAAGAGGGTTCCCCTTTCTCCACATCCTCGCCAACACCTGTTGGGGAACCAGCATGTTTACGAACCAGTTGATGTGATATCTGAGACAGACTTTAAAGTAATTCATTTGTGGAGGAGAGAGTAGAAATGGAGGGGGTTATGAATGAAATGAAATTGGCCACCAGTTGTTTTTTTGAAGTCGGATGTAAGGTACAGAGATTTACATTACAATTCTCTCTACTTGGGGGTGTGTTTGAAATTTTTCTTAATATAATGTTAGCAAACAGTATAGGTGGGATGAAATTACAGGAAATCAACAAAGGCAAATTCACATAACACAAAGTACATTATTTTACCACAGAGGCAAACTAGAAACTCATAACCAAATTATGGTAAAGATGCGGTAAACCAACCATTAGAATTAAAAATAAAAGCAATCCTCGATTACACCTGGGGCAAAAAGGATATGAAAAGTACAAAACGCAATTACCTACATAAGTATTTATGAAAATGACAACAGAACATGTCAAAACGTGAAGTTTGATGAAGTTTGTAGGTAAAGGAGGAAATAATAGCCTCAAAATGCTTTTATTACTGTGAAAAAGGATTGAAAATCAATGAAGCATCTTGTTAAATGAATTAGAAGAACAGCAGAGCATAAATAGAAATAAAGAATAAAGGGAGCATTAAGAAGCTAAAATGCAAATAAATGTATTTAAACAGATAACAGAATCTAGAAAACAGAAAGAAAGGCAGAAAATGGGAAATCCCTGGGGACTATAAAATTACAGTTCAGACTGAGGATGTAACTCACTGCTAAACTGGGTGACTTATAGAAACATATTAATTGCCAAAATTGTCAAGACGAGGCAGGGTATTTACAAGAAACCAATTACCATGGAAGAAACTGAAAAGATATGTTTGAAAAATCTTGTTTCTTTCCTATCCTTACCCTCAAAAGCATCAGTGTAAGATGGCTTTGTAGGTAATGCCCACCAAATTTAAGGAACAGAAAATTATTTTGCTGGGCGCCTGGGTGGGTCTGACTCTTGATTTCGGCTCAGGTCGTGATCTCAGAGTTGTGAGATTGAGTCTCATGTCAGGCTCTGTGCTCAGTGGGGAGTTTGCTTCTCTCTCTCAAGTAAATAAATGCAAAAAATCTTTTAAAAAATTATTTTGCTACTTAAACTTCTCTAGGATAGAGAAAAATGTGAAACATTTCTCAACTCATTTTATTGGTGGATTAATTCATATTTTAGCAATTGATTAAGCTATTGATCACAAGAAAAACTATAGGAACATCCCATTAATGAATATGAATGAAAAATCCAGAACAAAATAATGGTGAACCAAATCCAGGATGATATTAGAAGAACAATCTATCAGAGTCCAACAGAAACAGCTTGTATTCCAGGAATAAAAGTCAATCCAGTATCAGAACATTTAGAAGTTTGATTCTTCTCACAATGGATCAGAGGACAAATTTAGCGTAGTTATTGAAATAAATCCCTGGCTACATTTATTCTATTGATTTGAGCCACAGCTATTTCCTACAAAATTTGGGATTAGAAAGACAGTGCCATAATATCAAATAGTGGATGTAATGGTAGTACATTTAAATTGGAAGAGTAAATAGTTTTATCTCTCCTGCTCATCCTTTTTGACTGGCCCTGAGACTCACCAGTTCTCAGTAGGGTACTGTTTGCTTGACCTAGGTGGGAACGTCTGCTCCGTCAGGACTCCAGTGGCATATTTTTCTTTCGATAGGGCAAAGTGATCCTAACCTTCATCAGGAAAAATAAGCAGACAAGAATCAAGAACGTTTTGAATGGCAAAGACCCAGAATTCACTTTGTCGTGGGAAAAATACATGATGATAACAACAGTTGAGCCCATGTCCAGACGAACCATGATCTGTATAGTGATGGCGTTTCAAGTTACTCAATAAAAGATGGATTGTTTAATAAGTCTTGTTTGTTACAGGAAAATTCAGAAACTCTAAAGAGAAGTAATGTTGTGTACCAGGCAGTGGCATTATGTTAAATAGAACTGCTTTGTTTGTAAGAAAACTGCAGAATGGGCTCGGGGTATTTTAATACCATTTCCTAGTAGTATGATCGTGTTTATTAGGATTGTCTAATTTACCTAAAGGATTTGATGAAGGTGATTTTCTGACAGCATTGTGGGTTACTGGTAAAAATAAGATAAAAAATTACATAGCACTTACTCTGTGCCCCGCACTCTTCCTGAAGTATTGAAGGATATTACATTAACTCGCAACAACCGTGTGAGGTGGATATTACTATTTCCCGTTAAATACCTGAGGAAGGAGGGGCGTCTGGGAGCCTCAGTGGGCTGAGTCTGCCTTCGGCTCAGGTCATGATCCCAGCGTCCTGGGATCGAGCCCCACATCGGGCTCCCTGCTCAGTGGGGAACCTGCTTCTCCCTCTCTTCTCGGCTGGTGCTCTCTCTCACTACCTCTCTCTCTCAAATAAATAAAATCTTAAAAAAATAAAAACAAATAAATACACTAGGGACCTGCGAAGCTTGTGCAACTTCTCCATCTAGGAAGTGGGAGGGTGGGCACCAGCAGTTCAGGCACCCCCCCCAGAGTCTAGAGGACGCCCCCCTCCCTGGCAATGAGCTCTCTCTGTACAGCAGGGAAAGTCGCTCCCTTTTCAGGCTCTAACAGGCCCTTTTGCTTTCCTTAGGGACCTGATGCCGAGGACCCTGGAGGGGCAGATCACCATGGAGAAGACACCCAGTTACTTCGTCACCCGCGAAGCGCCCGCGCGCATCTCGGCCATGTCCAAGGACACCAAGCTCATCGTGGTGGTGCGGGACCCGGTGACCCGAGCCATCTCGGACTACACGCAGACGCTGTCCAAGCGGCCCGACATCCCCACCTTCGAGAGCTTGACGTTCAAGAACCGCACGACGGGCCTCATCGACACGTCGTGGAGCGCCATCCAGATCGGTATCTACGCCAAGCACCTGGAGCACTGGCTGCGCCACTTCCCCATCAGCCAGATGCTCTTCGTGAGCGGGGAGCGGCTCATCAGCGACCCGGCCGGCGAGCTGGGCCGCGTGCAGGACTTCCTGGGCCTCAAGAGGATCATCACCGACAAGCACTTCTACTTCAACAAGACCAAGGGCTTCCCCTGCCTGAAGAAGGCCGAGGGCAGCAGCAAGCCCCACTGCCTGGGCAAGACCAAGGGCAGGACCCACCCCGAGATCGACCGCGAGGTGGTGCGCAGGCTGCGCGAGTTCTATCGGCCATTCAACTTGAAGTTCTACCAGATGACCGGCCAGGACTTCGGCTGGGATGGATGACCATATAATTTAAAAAGAAAAAAAAAATCAGAATATAATATATTTTTTTACCAATCGGTAGAGAAAAGGCAGTTTAATATTTGTGCTGAAAATGTTTGTTTCAGTATTTTTTTTTTTTTTTGCAATGAATGTTAAGAGCGTGTTCTCACCTCCTCCCCCATCTGCTGTGTCACCGGCCCGAACATTTGGATAAACAAAAAAGGAAAACCTCACTCACCAAAATACTTGCAATTTTCGATTTCTGTTTTATGTTTTATATGCACAATTATAAACTCTGAGCATCGGTCGCCATGAACTTTCAAGAAAGTCCTGAGGGTAAATCAGTCTCTCTGTTTCTGTCTCTGCCTCTCTCTTTCTGTCTCTCTTTTCACAGGTCGCAGATAAAACGCTCTCTGCTTACATTTCCTCCCTTTCTTTTGCCCACAATTATTCACAGTTAACCACAGTGCTTTCAAATAAAACACCTTCCATCTTTGTGCGATGTGGTAGAAGAAGGAGATTATTGATCCCCATTTTAGAGATAAACTGAGTCTCAGGGAGGTTGGGCAAAAACCCCATCTTCCACTTGTTCCCTTTTTCATGCCCCTTCTTCCAGAGAGAATGAGAAGTAAGACAGCTGTACTTTTAGAAACAGTTCGCTAGTTTGGGGATGATCGGCAATAGGACAGAAAGGGTTTCCTATTTACTGCCTTCAAAAAGTTCCAGGCCAGCCTTGTGACACTCGGTCATGAGGAGTCATCAGTGTTCAAGGACACCACTCAGACCTGGGCACAATATCTTCTAAGAGCCAATCGTGGCTCGTTGAAATGCCCGAGCTATGGAACTCTCAGCTTGGTTGAGGTTGAGAGAAATTACTGGATTCTTATCTGGAGAACGAGATGGACAATCACAGTAGGAACGGGACAAAAAGTAGTAGCATAACTTACCTAGTTGTGGTTTTGACTTTTTTTTAAAGAAAAACCCACTTCAGTAAGAGCTTACAAGTAGGAATCTCATTTTTCTTTAGCTCTCTTTTAACAAAGAAAATCTGCTTCTCTTTTTAATACCTCATTTCTAATCTTGGAGCCAATACTAAAAAGATGAATAAATGTCATTATTTTTCATGGGTGGAGGACTATCACTTTGTCACTTTATTTTCCCTACTTCCTGTTTGTACCAAGAATAACGGAATATTCATTAATATTTGGAAAATATTCTAAGAAATACAGATGTGGGTAAAGCGGAGGTTTTTCTTTTCCCATCTAGTTCTCTCTTCCCCCATTTAAATAGCTCAAATAAATCAATAGTTTACTAAGAGTATTCCTTTCCTCTCTGAGTGGGCATTAACAAGATTAGCATTAATGGGAATTAAATTGGCTTAAAAGCACATATGCACGAAATATATAAAACATTTATAATTAGTCTGTCAGCAACATTTTATTATAGGTTTAAACCCAAGAGGAAAATGTCTCCTATCTCCTGGAACTTTTCCATATCTGCCAAAAATTTAAAGGAGCAGACGCTATGGTATTCTTAAATAAGTATTCTTTATTTCTCCAGTGTTGTCAGTCCAAAGAGACTAAAGTTGCTGGAAAATATGCAGAGTGCAAATGTGCATCAACCCTAAATGCTGCATCAGGTGAAATAAGTCTTTCCTGAGAGGCCTAACACAGAATTAAAATGCAGGGAAAAAATTACTTAAGTTTCTAGATATTCCAACATTTCTCCAAACCTTTGAATTTCTGTATGAATATCCCGTTTATGAGAGTTAAAAAGAAAAAAAATCCCAGGTCTCCTTTGCCCAGTTGATTTTAAGGTGCCCTTAATTTTCCAGCACAACACCCTGTTTTCGCTATAGTTAAATCATCACTTTTAGAAACAAGATACTCATCTTAAACTCTTTGCATCTTTTCTCTTAACTCATTTCGTTTGTGCCTCTGATCCTTTTATAAGCATTTGCTTGGCAATAAGCAGACATAGCTTGCACAAGGAAAGGAGTGCATCTAACAATTGTATTGGGCAATCTTCCTCTTTCTGTGTTAAGAAATAATAAAAGAACAGAACTGAGTTCAAAGCACCTCTTCTTGCATTGTAGATTTTTTTTTTGAAATTCATATTATTTAAATAATGAATGACTCTAGAGCCTTCCAGGAAAACTGTCTAACTTCTAAAAGTTCATAAGAGTGTCAGAAGTTCTAGATCCCAGCAAAACATCTACAGATCTAGGGTCCATATACTCGAAGTTTCTTCCAGAACAAGAATTGTACTTACTCCTGCTATGTGTGGCTTCAGATTTCCTTTGTCCATTTAGCTGTACCAACTAATAGGTTTTGTTCTTGATTTGAACATCTTAGCCATGCTTCCTCTGAGCCGTCTGCTCCACGGCCATGCCTACTGACAGCCTACATTCTTCTTAGAGGTAGAGCATTCTCTCTCTAGAAGAGCAACTAGAGGTCTGGAGCTTTATCCTGAACAGTTTGCTCGTGAGGCCCTGTCTATGGTGTAAAATTCTCTAGGTAAGTAACTTTTAGGGGAAATTCATTTATTCTAATGACTGGAGCTTGATAAGCTGCTAGAGAATGGATATTTATTACTCAAGGAGTATTACTCCTACTGTACTTTTCCTAATTTCAAAGATCTTCAAAGTCAGAACAAACCTAATGGATCAAATCGCCATTTGGCCCTTAAATCCTTTCTTTAACTTGTTGCACGGGGGGTTCGAACATGAACGTGTCTGGAAATTCTCACTCTGGATTTTTCTGTTGTTGTAAAGAGGATCAGTATCTCCTCAACACCTTCATCCGGTTCTGCGGGCTGAGATCCACCAAATCTGTTACACGTGAAGATACTTACAATTCAACGTGTGAATACATAAAGGTGCGTATGTCATAATGGTACATTACATTCACCAGCAGATTACCTTTTCATTGTCCCTTAAACCAACAGCCACTCTCCACTCTCAAAGAGTTTGACTTTCCAGATGAGCAAGTGAACACTCAGGAGAACAGTGGTTCTCCACAAAAGACGATTCTGCCCCCTGGGGGGATCTCTGGAGATACTTTGGTTGTCCCAAGGCTGGTGGAGTGTAGGGTGCTTCTAGTGGGCAGTGTGATGCCCAGGAGAGCCCCCCACAGCAAAGAATCATCCTACGCAAAATGTCAGCAGTGCTGAGATTCCTGGTTTAAGAAGTAAAGCATATACCACCTAGTGCATGTCTGAAACAGGTCTATAAACCAGATTCTAATGAATGCTTAGCTGGGACTTCTTTCCCTCATCACCCTAAGTTTTTCTCTTGCAGACCTTTCTTTCTCCCTCTCACTTCGTAAGTCATTCCATCATAGTAAGCAGATGAGTGTTTAACGTCATGCCTTGCCAAGAGGAGTGCGAACGAGAAACTTCACTGAATTGGGTTTTTATAGCCGAGATCCACGAGCTGTTTATAACAAATGGATGATTGCATTTCTGTGAAGTGGAATCCGTCAACTTCGAGTGGGAACATCACATGCCAAAAAAACATTTCTGAAGGTGTTTTCAAGTTCAAGTCCTGCAGTTTCAATTTGCCTCCAGGACCGTGCTGTTGGAAGTATTTCTTGTTACCTGACACAACCATCGTGTCAAGAGAGACAAGTAAATGGGTCCCACTTCTGTTAAACAGCAGAATTAGGGCTCGTGAAGGGCCCTGAGCTGTTGAGTAATCACAAAGGAAGGCACATTCTTTCTGCTGTATATTCTAGAAACCCCAGAATTTTGTGTCTAATTTCCATAGAATCAGGGAAGAGAAGAGCTTAGGATCACCAAACATGGGGAAGTGTGGCTGGGATTCAGCCCAGGAAAATTCTTCTTGTAGAAGTAAAAGACCCTACCTATTCTCCTCGTGTATCCTGTAATCACTGAAGAATGAGCCTTTTCAAACCCAAACCTCAAGCCCTGTTGGGGAAACATCCCATTATTGTAGCCTATCTGGTCCTTGAAACATCTTCAAAGTGCAAACGGATTTGCATTCAGAGTCTCAATTCTATGGATGAAAAACAGAGAGAGAGGGAAATTTAGAAACCTGTGTGTCCCATCATGGAATGTTGGAATGGTAGGCCTTCCCCTTAGAACTTGAAGAGAAGGTGAACTTGGAGATAATCACGAGGCAGTGCGACTTTTATACAGAGTCATAAAATAGCGGATTTTAGCTATGCCTGGAGAAGAGAACACTGAAAATAGAAATTACTTCTAATATATGAACCCATTGTGGGATATTAAGAAATGTCAGTATGTCTCAGACTCTGTTTTCAGTTCCTTTTAACTGTCCATTGTGTTCCTTTAATAGCTACATGCTCAGCAGCTTAGTCTCCTTCAGTTTTACCGTCAAAATAAAAGCTAATGATAAATGGGGAACGTACTTTCTGCTGTGAATCCTTTCCATCCCACAATTCCTGGGTCTGATGTTTTAGGTGCATTTGAAGGGTCAGATATGATGAGGTATGCTACCCTTTATTAGCCTTGCCTGAGGGATGCCATCAGGCTGGATTTTCAGCGTGGTGCTAGCTGATGACTCAGAAGACGTTTAGGGCACTGTCTGGTCCACATATGGACAAACTACAGTCTCAGCTTCACGTCCTTCCCAAAGTCACTTTCTAGTAAGCCCCGAGTTTTTACCACCCCTGGGGATTTGTCTTCATTGCGAACAGGACTGATGTGCCTTTTTCCCTTCCCACTTCCTCTCCGTGCTTCCTACACTTTCTAGTGCCTTCTCTCCATGTCCTGCCTGTGTCCGGTGAGTCCTCATACCTCAGCCTCTACCAACCTGCACCATGCTCAGTGGTGTCCACTTCCTACCTCAGATTCCTGGGGGAAATTGCTCTCAGCTCCGGCAGTTCTAGAGAAAGGAGTCGGACTGCTGTGGATACCAGGATGGGTGGAGACCAGACGGATTTCACTTTCCCCAAGAGTGTTTATGTGAGGAAAACGGGGCCTAAAGGAGGACGGACGAAGCCGAATACGCAAGTACCAGAGCACATTTTTTTGACAGG